GGTAGTTTGGAAAAGTTCAGTGACTATTTAGAGTAGTTCCGAAGTTCAGTGACCTCCTAGGAATTTTTTTTGCGAAATTCAGTGACTAATTAGGAAAGTTTTAAAGTTCAGTGATCTCCTTGGGAACTTTTAGCAAAGTTTAGTGACCATTTAGGGTATTAACCCTCCTGGTTACACCTTCGTAACTTCAAACCCCTGGATTCATTAGAGTACCTCTTGTGATACTCCAATGTCCCAATGGATTGGTTATTCCTAAACGAGTTATGAAAGGTATAACAAGCATACCCTATCTCCACATTGGATCGAGAACATGTCAAAAGGATAAAACACTGCTAATTCATACAGAGTCATCGAACCTGCCCAACATTTGTAATTTAATTTGTCGTAAAATATAAAAAATAAACCTTACCTCGAAAAGCCATTGGAATGGCCTTTCTCTAACCACACGGATATACTTCGTCGATGAATATCCATCATTGCTGTTGGATTGTCGCTACCATGTTTTCAGTTTGTTATAAAACAAAAGGAAGACCATGAAATGCAAATGAGACAGAAAAATATTATTTTTCTATCTTCACATTTACTTCATTCGGCAAATGACTGGTATTTTTAAGCCGTAAGAATCATGTATTACTATAATTTATAGGTGGGACGAACATAAAATGCATTGGAATGAAAATACAAAATGACTATTTTTCTATTTCTTTCTAATGAATAAATGATGAAGTTAATTCTTCACATGCATATTCAGTCTGAATGAACGAATCTCCCTTTGGACATTGTGTAGTTAGTTACTATAGATGCCTGAACAGAACAAAACACAAGAAGTTAAACGAAAACCGGGATGAACAAGGCCAGCCGGCTGTTAAACTTCTAATATCACGTCTTCTTTTTGGATGATAGTGAAACATTCATATGTTAAAGATTATCTTTGTATTATCTAAATGTCTTTAAAAGATTGTTTCATATGTACTATTGACTGACTAAGCGAAAATTCTGATAGTTCGACACTTTTTTCAGTGTTGCAGAACCTATATAAAGGGACAATAACTTGAATTGATGAAAAAAGAGCTGTGCACAACAAATAATGAAAGGTGAATTTGTTTTGTTTCTTTCTTTTTTAGGCCTTGTTGCCTCAGTACAATGTCATGGTGGGAGAGGATATTATTCTATGCGGGAAGTGATGAAGGCTCGGGGCTCAAAAGGATCGATTAATTATCATACAGAGGATGACTTGACTGAGTATTCACCGGTATATATAGCACCCCAGGTGGGTTTGAAGGAAGCTGACAAGATCATAATGTTGCCAGGGCAACCAAAAGTGGACTTTGCTCAGTATTCGGGCTATGTGACTGTTGATCGTAGGGCCGGTCGAGCACTCTTTTATTATTTTACCGAGTCTGAGGATCCTTCCAGCAAGCCTCTAGTTTTGTGGCTGAATGGAGGTAAGTTTATGTGGCAGTTTTGCCATTCTGAGCATACAAGGTTGTCTCTTTTCGTATGTCTGCATTCATTTTTGCTTAGTACACTCATTATTACCATACTTGGGACTGCAGGACCGGGGTGCTCATCGATAGCAGGTGGAGCAATGACTGAACTTGGACCATTCCGGGTGAATAGCGATGGTAAAACTCTATGGTATAACAAATACGCTTGGAACAATTGTGAGTACTTACATCCCTAAAACTAGTGAGTAGCACTTGATAGTATTATCGAAATTTTTTTTCTATCATAATGTCCATTACGATCTAAACTACGTATCAAACATGTTACTATTTATTTTAAAAGTAATTCATTATGAACGTTATGCTTCTTGAAATGCAGTGGCAAATGTTCTCTACTTGGAATCCCCAGCTGGCGTCGGATTTTCTTACTCGAATACATCTATGGATCATGATGATAAACAGACTGCAGTAGATTCGTATACCTTTTTAGTGAACTGGTTAGAAAGATTTCCAGAATACAAAACCCGGGATTTTTACATAACTGGAGAGAGTTATGCAGGTCATTATGTGCCTCAACTTGCTGATTTAATCCTAGAAAAAAACAAAATCATGAACCAAACGGTCATCAATTTAAAAGGAATTGCCGTAAGTTTTCCTGATATATAAGGCTGCCTATTTTACTTTGTAAACATTTTATCAAGAATTACATATTTATATTGGGACATGATTTTCAGATTGGGAATGCATATATTGATCTTGAGGATGAGTATAATGGCATTTATGACTATTTCTGGACACATGCTATGATGTCGGATGAACATCACGAGGCGATTGCATCAACGTGCAATTTTTCTTCGTCAAACTCCATATCAACAGCCTGTAATGCAGTTCTTGATAAAACAGATGCTGATAGAGGCAATGTCTTCTTTTACGATATTTATGCTCCCTTGTGTATTTCTTCATCTTCAAATTCTCCCTCGGTATATTTTAGAATCCAAATTTTCAATACATTTTTCTCTTTTTGTGAAATTTGAAATTTAATGGACGAATTCCATTCTTCTCTAGAAACAGAGTTCAGGATTCGATCCCTGCTCGGGGGATTATGTCTTCACCTACTTAAACACTCCTGAAGTGCAAAAGGAACTTCATGCCAATGTCACTGGAATTCCTGGACCATGGGACTCTTGCAAGTACTACAAATTCACCATCTGAAAATCACTTTTTTTTTTTAATGCAGTTTCATCGAAAAACTGTTTTATTCACGACTTGTTTTGATTAATTACTCCAGCGACACCATATTTCTTAATTGGAAGGACATGCCGGACACAGTACTACCTACAATTAAGAAACTGATGGGTAGTGGACTTCGCGTTTGGATCTACAGGTCAGTACCTATATGCTTATTTCGACTGCATTTTATATCCATTATAATCTGTTAACTTCGCATTTGGATCTAAGGTAAGTACATATATGCTTATTTTGACTGCATTCTCTCCATTATAATACGTTGAACTGCATTACATAAGCTAGCAAAATTGATCACTATAATGTACATGCAATGAAATCAACTGTGGGACTTCGGCGAATGGTTTTAACTAAATTTATTGCAGTGGAGATACAGATGGTAGAGTGCCAGTGACAGCAACTCAGTATTCACTTACGAAAATCGGCGCCCCTGTAAAGACTCCATGGTACCCTTGTTACCTCCATGGTGAGGTAAGAAAGAACTGGCTTTGAGCATGTTGCATAATTTATTTTTTTCTTACTTTTAAGTGAAAAAAGTTACTTATTTTGAAACTAACTCCTAGCACAATTTTTCCACTATATTCAAGGTTGGAGGTTATGTAGTTCAATACCAGAATCTGACATTTGTGACTGTACGAGGAGCAGGACATTTTGTCCCGAGTTACCAGCCTGAGCGTGCACTAACCTTCTTCTCGTCCTTCTTAGAGGGAAAGCTTCCTCCAGGCACAACTAAATAAGGATCGAAATTAAGGCGAATAAAATATTTGTACTGGCGAATGACTAAAGTTAACAAGTATTCAGTATCCTTTGTCTTGAAAATGTATAATTTTATTGGCTATAGTCAAATGCGTTTGAATTCATGTTTGAGCTCGTCAGATTCTACAAATTGTGAATTCTAAATTATTTGATGATAATCAAGTAGTTAGAATCTTAATTACGAGAATTGTATCTTTTTGAGAAAGATGACAGTAAATCTATATAATTTCAGAATTTCTCCAGGACTGAAGCACTTTTCTAGTCTTTTCCTTTATTACCTGGATTCTGACGCGATAAAAAAATTTAGTTGATGACAAATTTTTTTTAGCAAGAAATACTTACTTCAACTATTGAAATTACTTCGAGAGTATAAAGAAATTAAGGGTCCGTTTGATTGTAAGAATGAAATTTTGATGGAAAGAAAATGAAATTCTATACAATTGAATTGCCTTGAATTTATTTTACTGAGAATTGTCAATTATTTGTGTTTGATTGGTATAATTTTCCACCTGAAAAATATTGAAATTTTGGATCTTTTAGTGTTCGTTTGACTTTATTTTCCACGAAAATTGTCCATTAAAGAGATATAAATTGTTACAATTGGGGATATAATTTGTTTCCATTGCCCAAAAAAACAAAAAAAAGAAAGAGCTGCCTAGAAAACCAATTCCCACCAAAGTGGTGGGAATTGATTTATCTCAAAAGCAAGAAAATGTGGAAAACCAATTACCTGGAAAATGTTTCCTATCAAACACTCTAAAAAGTGGAAAATTGTAAAAAGTTTGCCATCTTCCATGGAAAATTTGCCCTATCAAACAGGGCCTAGCAATATTATGGAACATCAAAAGAGGTACACTGTCAAGCAAAGGCATAACAATTCCATTATTTGCTCTCTTGCGAGAAATTAATAGTGGAACACATGATGTGTGGTCTCATTGTTTGATGAATATATATAAGCATGTCTGGATAGCCTACTATGATAAAATCAAAGAAAGGATATGAGATTTGAAGCTAAAATTAAAGGAACTAAAACTAACAGAGACCAATCAAGGAAAGGTTCTGAAATTGAAGCTGAAATTATTGAAACGAAAATTGACAGACAAAGAAATAAAGGGATAGGCCTGCTGGAAGCAGGGAAGACGATTAACAATTTCATTCATTCATGCTTGAGGAAATGACAAGGTAATCTATTCTATTTATAGAGAAAATAGCTAACCAATTATCTAACAAACTAACAAGATAACAAACTAAGGAAGGAATTAGAAGAAGCTAGAATCTGGAAGAAGGAGCTGCTGTTGAACTGAACGTGCTGATGGTCTTGCTGTAGAACGTGGGCTGCTGGTGCTGAAGGTGTATGTGAGCTTACATATATTCCAACATACTACAAATAGAGGTGTAAAATGAAAACAAAGAGAGAAAGAATTCAGTACTCTGGGAGAATCAAATAAATTGCCGAGTTTCAGCTTGCATTGGAGAATAATTTTTTTAGACAATTCCTATTTTGCTTATGTGACAAAATTATTTTAGCAATCCACGATTGTGTTGGAGATGCTCTGAACGTGTCTTTTGACGCTAATTTTTTCAAACGACCAGTCCTGTTTCTGTACCAAAATCGGTAAACATATAAATTAATCCAATAACTTCCCATCCGTTGTCAAGTTTACGTGGTAGATTTTAGTAATATGGGACAAAAATTGTCAGTTTTCTATGTTCATATTTAGTTCATTCAGCACACCACAAAAAAATTGAGCCATTAGAATCAAAGATTAACAAAAAATGCATTTATTTGAACATACAAAACAAATATTTTCATTTCCCTTCTGAAGAATGTATTCAGGATATTTGTTTTCTTACAGGTTACAAGCATATTCAGTCAATCTTAATGAATGTTTCTTTGCACATTGTCTGGTTACTATATATGCCTTAAAAGATGGTACCACCTTTGTTTATAAAATCATGGAACACAACAAAAACATTAAGTTAAGCAAAACCGGGCATGAACTATGCCGGCAGTGAAATTACTAATGTCGCATCTTCTTTTTGGCATCATAGTGAAATGTTATAGATTATCTTTGTACTATCTAAATGTCTTCGAAAGATCTTTTAATAGGTATTATTGACCGAGTAAGAGAAATTTTTGATAATTTGATATTTTTTAAGTGTTGCAGAACCTATATGAAGGCAGAATAACTCTACCACTGATAAAAAAAAAAAAAAAAATTTCTACATGTTTAGACATTAAATTTTTTGATCAAAGAGTACCGAAATGTTATAATTTTCTTTTGACATCTCGATTATTTCTTTATCTAATTGAGATGACATATAATATGATTTTCTAACTATGTGTTCTGAATCATTTGATTATGCACGTAACGATTTGGAATAGTATTACATTTTACTATAGAAATAAATATTTTAAAAAATAAGGACGTGCCACAGTTATGTAGATTATAGACATATATCATCACATACAACTCGTGTTTGGTTCAACTTAAAAAACAAATTAAAATAAAAGTCAAATCAACAATTAATTATAACCACACATTTAATGGGGCTCAATCCATTAACTTTTATCAAGATTTATTAAAAACGTGATTTTAATCTAAATCGAACACCGGCATAAAAGATGTTTATTTCTAAAATGAAAGTTTATAAAAGTCGAATGAACTCTGTAAAAGTTTTTAGAAGTCAATGAAAGATTTTCATTAAATCTAATACAAATCTATAAAACTCAAAAATAATTTATGAATTTCACAAAAAAAATTGAATACACTCTCCTAAACAATAATATATTCTGAGCATGTAAGGTGCAATTATTTATGGATTTATCTAGATGTACAAAATCTTGTACATAATGTATTACAAAATCGCCAAGTGGCGCCCCACTATTGGAGGGGCGCCTGTTGCGTCAGGCGCCCCTCCAATAGTGGGGCGCCACTTG